GTTGAAATGGTTTAACCTTTATTGCGGAATGTCTGAATTTTTTAAATGAATTCAATCGATCATTCCAATTGTATCCTTTCTACAGTGGAACTGAAGATATCGTGTCACCACATGGAATCCCATTGGATTTATTGGATCGTTTGGTGATCATTCAAACGAATCCATACCCCATCGGTGAAATTCAACAGATCATCAAAATCCGTGCACAAGTCGAGGGTTTACAAATCGAAGAGGATGCATTGACGGCTCTCAGTGAAATTGGACACACAACAACACTCCGATATGCTGTGCAGCTCCTAACACCAGCCGCTCAATCGGCCAAAGTAAACGGCCGCACTTCGATTGCAAAAGAAGATATCGGCGAGATCAACAATCTCTTCTTAGATGTCAAGCGATCAGCTAAATTCCTTTCCGTGAAGGACAACAAATACATGCTCTAAGCCTAGAGATTTATTATTTTAAGCGTTCTTTCATTATTGTCAAATTCAACATTCGCATGACTTAATTCCTGAATAAAACTCACATGAAAAATTAATATTTTTTTTGCTTTGACAATTTGTGCCTTAATTTTCTTTTGATTCGGAACTTTCACACGAAACGGTTTTATCCAACGGCTTCAGAACGTAATTAACGGTAAGTTTCTTTCGTAAAATTTCAAATTGATTTTATTTCAATTCATTCACTTGATTAAAATTATATGAGTATAAAATCGTGCAAAGTGTTCTTATTTGAACATAAAATCAAATGTAATGATATTTTGAATAAGATCAGACTTGCTCAATCAAAATATCTTTCATAGCACTAGAGCGAATCCTACCGGATCAGTTTAAATAAAGTGAAACATACAAAAACATATTGTTGTGAAATTCAATTGTTTACAATCTGAACAAATAGCTTGACACAATAAAGGCAAGACATCTTGTGCGGCATATGGTACGCGTGCCAAAACACGAATTACAATAAAAAAAATCCTAATTCTTTCAATCAAGTAAAATCATCCATTTGCATATTTGCTTTGAGCGAGGAAAATATCGAATTTCATTTTTGAGGGTGCCGAGTTCAAGTCGTATGCGTCGTTCCGAGTCGCAATCAACGAATATTGCCAACAAAATTCTGTGAACGGGATTCCATAACATTTTATGCGTCAGAGTAGTGAAAAACTCAAGCCGGACACTTTCAAAGGTGAAACGCTTGACATGGAGACAATTGATAAACTCGTGTATCATAACAAAGCACTGGTCTGTGAATATCACAAGAAAAGGATGGCCAAGACGATGGAAATAACGTGAACTGCCATGGTCGCATTACATTTCGCCACGACAAAACAAAGAGACTGCTTCTAGTTTCCTCGTTTTGTGGTGCGCTCACAGGCCATCCTTATCAGAGTGTCCCAATGCTACTCTAAACGTGAATGATTGTCACCGAAAATTTCGAGGATTCAAGTGCAGAAAAACAACAATATTTCTTTATGAGCGAGAAATAAATTCTGAAATATATTTTCGCATAATTCAAATACACTCAATATCGGATTGTGTTTTATTTGGAGCGCAAAACTCAATTCTTTTCACTTATTTTTAATTTGTTATGAAACATCTTTTGGCACTTTTTCAGTTGTAGTCAATCTTTGATTTGTTCATCGTTCACCACGAATGTGCTGCTTGCAATGGCTGGGTCATTGATGTCAAAGCCGGCCGCGGGTGCTTGCTCAGGTGGTGCGTCATCATTGGAGTTCACTCGTCTTTTGTACGCGTCTAATCTCTGTCGTTCTCCCATCGAATTTTGGCAACTGTAAAGAGGAAATATAGAAATATACAAAATCTGTTATTTTTATTTATTTATTTTCCCAAAAAACTTACAAAGCGACAATACTGTCGGTCAAATATATCTTGAGAACGTCATCGATCGGTATAGCCGCCAGACCGTCTCATTTTTCGCACGTTCGTTATGAACGGAAATGTTCCTAAGAAATATTCTGACATGTCTCGTCAAGCTGGACAGCAATTGATCCATGCTTTCTTGAACTATTGGTTGTGTCATCTCTGTGGAAGAAAAAACAACAGAAAATGTTTCACCTTTAGTAAATCAGCAATAAACATTCGATTTGTCAAGCTGAATCGGAAGCCGATTGAATTGTACTTCGGACCGGTAATGGCGTCAATGTCATAAAAGGTCAATGAAAGTGATAATTTGCACAATATTCATTTCCGATACACCTTACCTTATTTACAATTTTTTTACAATAATAGCAATATCCTTTCAATTGATATGAACACTTAGAT